CCTCAGGCATCGTGGCGGACAAGTTGTTCATGTCCTCATAGAGCTCAAGTCCTCCGAGGTCATAGTGCATGGTGTAGGCATTCACTGCTGGTCGAGGAGGAGGTGTCATCTTGCCACGTTGTTTTCCCTTTGACTTGGAGGTCCAAAAACTGTCATGGGAAACCATGGAGGCGTGTTTTGATTTCCCCTTTCCCTTTTTGCCCTTCCCCTTCATGAAGAAGAGCTGCTGGTCCGAGTAGTCGGCCATGTAGGAAGACTTTCCCTTGCCCTTGCCGATGGAGTAGGGTGGATGCCGTCGGTCAGGGCAATCTCGAACAAAGTGAGGTCCACCACATTGAAAACACTTTGGGCCTTGGCCGACTTGACCAAAGCCCCTGTCCTTGCGCATCTGTTGTGTTGTGCGCTGTGCTTCAACCCATGTTCGTTTTGCTTCCATTGCCAGCTGTTCTGCTGCTTGTTCTGCTTGTTGTGCTTCCTTCAACTGGTCATCCTCTTCCTCCACTGCCGCCAGGGTGGATTCACCATGAGGTTCTTCATGCCATTCGCCCCACTCATCATCAGGCCATTGTTCATGCCATTGCTGATCACCACCATCAGGCCACCAGCCATCACTCTCCCAGGAGTCATGAGGATCATCCTCCCAGGATTGCCAGTTCACATAGCCATGGCCACGGCCAGGAAACGAAGAGTGATGATGACGTTGGCCAAGTAGTTGTTCGTCCCACAGGGTCTGAAGAGCCTGTGAGATGGCTTCAAACTCCAACTTGTTCTGGGTCGTGCTGAGGATGTCACGAGTCTCCTCAGCATTCAAACAAGCGGCTTGGAGAAGTCTCCAGCCACGAAGAACTCCCATGATGAAGCTGTCCGTAGGTGAGAGCTCGTTCATGGCCACAGAAGGTGCTTGCACCGACACTGCACGAAGCGAGGGAGGTCCAGCGCTCAAGCCACCACGGCTCGGTGAAGAGCCAGCGCTTGCTCGTTCAGCCGGAGCTGAACCAGAGTTGCCACCTGCTGCAGCCGAGGCGCTAGTAGTGGTAGTCGTTGGAGCTGGGGCGTCATCGCCAGGAGGTTCATCCAAAGGCGTATCGCCATCAGGAGAGTCGACTTCGTTGCCATCATCGTCATACCACCAGTCTCATTGGTCTTCAACCGGTGGGAGGCCGAAGTCGAGCTCGTTCTGGTCGATGCCATTCTTTTCCTCCCAAAGCCTCGTCAAGGCCTCAGAGAATTCCTCATAGCCTAATGTTTCGCGTACGAGGAAGTTGGCCATACTCTCGTTGGGCTGTCGCCTAAAGCTCAGGTACTGCTGAAGGATCGCGGCCGTGTTCGGTAGGGTGCGCCGCACAAGCGGCGAGCCTGCCAGCTTCCGGAGCAGAGTCAAGGTTCCATCCGGGGCGTCGAACTCGCCACGGTTCCATGACATAGCCAAGAGGCATGCAGGTCCTTGAAGTCGGCTGATGAGGCGAGAAGCAACATAGCGTCTCTTGTGCACAGGTGTTGATGAGACATACCATGCCACTTCTTTCGTGTAGCGCCTCCAGCCACGAGCCTGTCCATCCCATGTGGGGACTGATCCGTCCCTCGGTTCCGCCATGCCACCAGGAAGGTGCCGAAAACAAAGTCAAGGAAAGGTCCGGCAAGGTCCAAAGCTTGCCAGGTCAAAGTCAAAAAGGTCGCCTTCTTCAAAGGCCAGGAAAAAGAGCTCAGCAGTGCCAAGACACCGGAGGTCCAGAGCGAAGATGTCGGTAGACCACCAGCAAAGTCGAGGAACACCGCTGCTTGAAGACACCGCCAAAGAAGACAAAAGCGATGATCTTCAAGTCGAAAAAGGTCCAGGAGCTTTCGCTCCGCTACCAATGTAGCAGGAGCGCGCCGGGTGGCGTAGTGGGCTTCCCTAACAAATGGTCGATCGAAGGATGTCCTCGGTAGGACAGCGGTCTTTTCCACGAGCCCGTCGGCTCAGAGTCCAGCCATGGTCGAAGGCTGAGGTCAAGTAAAGGGGCCCCTTCCTGTGAAAAGGGCGGCGGACATGGAAAACAAGTCTCACTCACAACCTGAAGGACGAACGAAAGCTGCAGAAACCCCACAGCCCACGGTGGCATCGGCGGGCACGGGCAAAAAGAAGCCGCGCTCGAGCTCTACTTCGGTCCTACAGGTGTAAACCTGTGGTGCGGTTGGGCAGCTCGGGTGTCCAGGACACTTCAAAGCGCGCTTGGCCGTTCTTGGTAGAGGGCTGTTCGTTTTGCAACTGTAGTCTCGTGGAGAAAACTTGCGTCCTCTTTTGAATGCCCCCAACAAATGTCAACGCTTTTAAAATAGCCGAACTTCTGCCAAGCAATGTTTTAAAACGAACAGACTTCATAAATACAGAAATGATCAGTTTCAGGCTTTCCGCTTCCAAAGAATGAGAACATCAAAGCAGAAATTGAAAGAACAAATTTCCGCCAAACAAAGTAACACAAAATAAGCAGCTTCATAACTTCAGAAATTGTTGATTCCGAATCTCCACCAAACTATGTAAAAGGTAAAGTTTTCAGAATTTCGAATTTCCGCAAACTATGCAAAAAAATCCCCGTTCAAATTTCCTTTAAAAAATCAACCTCCCTGGGTAACAAAAAGAGCTTCGATATTGTAAAGAAAAAAGTTTGTTTCCAGGTACCCGTTTTTGTGGGTGTGGGGAGGTTGCTTTTGTAAGGGCAGCATTCTTTCTCGGGGCTGTTGATTCTGTAAGGAATCGATATGTTGGTATGGATGTCAAAAGTGCCGCATTGGTGAGGGTGGGGTCCTTGATTCTATGCAAGTTTGAGGGTGGGGTGGTTGTCATGGACAGTCGATTCTGTAATCGATTGACCTGTTGTAAAGCATGGACAGTTGATTTTGTAGTGGGTTGAGCTGCTGTAGAACATGGTCTTCTAAATTCTCAATAATTCGCAAATTTTTCATGATATATCATAGATAGGATATATTTCAACACACACACACACGCACACCAGGCATCCCAAGAGCCTCGTTGAGTCTCGCTGCTGAGTCGATGTTTAATGAAAGTGTTCTCTTTGAGCCCAGTCTATCCCACACTTCAAGGCCTTCTGCTGGAAGATCCTCTTTCTTCTTTGCCTTCTTTGGTGGAGGAGTATCCACACCTGCCGCACTTAAACATCTAGTGAGGGCTTCTGAAGGCACTTGTTTCTAGGTTTTTCTACTGTATCGAACCAGTCTGATAAACTCTGTCAAAAAGTCTCCCAACAGACCCATTGAAACCCACGCTTCACTTGCCTTCTGCTTGAAGACTCTTCGTCTTCCGCGCCTGCTTGGATGCTAGAGTTCCCGCACCTGCCGCAATTAAATGTCTATAGATGTCTAGTCAGGGCTTCTGGGGGTAATGGTTTCCAGGTGGACACATGAAGGATCATGAAGGTAAAAGTACCAAGGAAGATGTGAAACCTCAAAGTCCTAAATGTTCAACAACTCCCAACGCAACCCTGGAACCCCCACACTCCAATGCCTTCTACTAGAGGCTCATGCTTCACCTTCGTTGTCGCAGAAATTTCCCCACCTGTCACAAGTGAGCCGGGAGAGAGGGCTTTTGAAAGCCTTCTATCTAGGTGGATATCTACAAGCGCCGTACTTAAGTCAACCCACGTCGCGTGAAGTCAACTCACTGCATGGGCACAAGGTTTCAGCGAGAAGTCAACATCAACCAAGGGACCTGTGAACATCAACCAAGGGACCTGTGAACCTGTGAACCTGTAGCGATAAGTAAACCGAGACTGAGATTCTTGATTCTGTATAAGTGCCTCTGGATGCTCTCTTGGTGCCTCTGATTTTGAAAAACTGTTTCCTAGTGATAGACATTGGGATGCTTGATTTTGTAATCAACTGTTTGGCGCATTGGTCCGTGCTACTGTCTGATCGTATCGTATCGTCTCGATGAGGTCGCGCCGAATCATTACAAAATCGTTTGTTTTTTCCAATCCAGGTTTAATGATTGAGATTTTGTATCTTGTTTGAGGCCTCGGGGTGGTTGATTTTGTAATTGTACTGAGCCATGTCAACAGAGTGCCTATGATTTTGTAAAGACTGTATCTTGAGACTGGGGTAGTTGATTTTGTAATATCGGCTTGAGAGTTGTCCCTTGCCTGCGTCCTGGGGGGTTTGATTTTGTAAGGATTTTAAGATTGGCGAACCTGGGGTGGCTGATTCTGTGGACACTTTCCTTAAAAAATCAACCACCCCTACATACAGCAGGAATTCGAAGGGGTATGCAAAAAATGTAAGCTTGTTTTGCCGAGCTTCCGCCAAACTATGTAAAAAGTGACGCTTTCAGATCTTCAGAAAATGTTCATTTCCGAATTTCCGCAGAACTATGTAAAAATGTAAGCTTTTCACACATTCAGAAGCTGTTCATTTCCGAGTTTATGTAAAAGGCCAAGTTCTCAGATCTTCAAAAAATGTTCATTTCCGAATTTCTGCAAAAACTATTTAAAAACATAAAGTTTTCAGAGATTCAAAAATAGTTAATTTCCGAATTTCTGCTAAAAGTAACATTTTTCAGCGATTCAAAAACTGTTAACTTCCGAATTCCCGCCAACAGGAATGTTTTTCAGAAGTTGTGAAGTTGTTAATTTCCGGAATTCTGCCAAAAGTACAGAAATCGGAATTTCCGAATTTACGCCAAAAGTAATTTCCAACAAGCCTTGGAACCCTTTTACAAACTGTAGCTCTTGGAATCACTCAATGAATGGCCTATTTTCAAGCGACGCTGAGGGAGTGTGGGGGAATCAAAGTTCCGGCACCCTGCAAATGGACTAGATACGCAACCGCTCGCGTCAACTGATCCGATGCGTGACATATTGGACACCTTTTGGACCCAAAAACCCACACATCGCCATCAAACGATATCTCTTCCAGCCCTCATACCGAGCACTCCTCCTCAGCATTCCTCAATCAGCACGAAACGTGCGGGACACGGCGACTGAGCGGACACGGTGCACGTCGGGCAGTTGGACTCCGCTCAACTGGCCTTGGCGTGGCGCTCCTCGAACTCCTCGGAGCAGGGACGCCTGGGGTAGATGAGGAGAGCGAACTCATGTGGGGATTTTTGTGGGGTTTGGGCTGAATGGAAATGAAATCCAATGGTGTCTTGACACCAGTTGCAAAGTTGCGACGGACGGATCTGGATTTGAGGCCGGTGTATTTTCGGAAACCGAGAAGATTTGTTGATATTCGCAATTCGACTCTTTCAGAAACGTGGAAGTCTAGGTGGCTGGTGTGTTTGTTTTTCTTGTCCGCATCTCCGTTGCCCAATTGAAAGTGGAGTGCCGACAGCGTGGAGAGGAGTTGAAGTGCTTGAAATTGAGTCTGGTTGCATTGTTTGAGCTGATTTAGTGGTGATCAGTCATCTCTGTAGGCAGAAAGGGGTCTTGATTGGCGTTGCTTCGGTTATCCCAAAAGCATAGAATGGGGTTGTCCCGATGAAAAACCACCCAACGTCTTGATTGTACGGTCGATGCATTTGCAGAGGACTGCGCAACCGTGTCTGGTTACGTAAATGGCTCTGTGTCGCAACCGTTCGGACCCAAACCTACAAAGGTCACCCGGTCGGTGCAGTGAGTGGGAGAAGCAACAAAGCCGAGACATGCTGAGACGTTCTATCAGAAGGTTTCTAGGGTCTAAAACCAAGGGCCAAGGGCTCCTCACGAGAAGAGGGGGATAAAACTGTTAGTCTGTAGGTGGAGGATGGAAAGGGGGGAAACAGATTGACTTCAAGAACTCCAACGGTGAAAGAACTCGACACCTCTGTCGTCCAACAGGCCGACCGGTTGGACCGATCCGCGGATCCAGACATCCGAGAAGGACCACGGTCCGCAAGTTCCACCAGATCGAACTTCTTGGCGTAGCGATGCCAGGAGCCCCGAACGTAGCTTCTTGTTCCTAGTAGTCATGCCCTTCTTACTAGTAGCGATGCCCTTGTTACTAATATGCCCTTGCTACTAGTAGTTTTTTGCTAGCGATGCCCTTGTTACTATAGTAGCCAGTTTCTTCAACATGCCAGGAGTCGCATGGATTTGGGTGGGTGTTTTTCTCCCGACTTTGGAGTGGAGAATGGGCACGTAACCTTCTTCCTCCGTTCGGGTTTCGGCACCCCGTCAAACGTCACTCCATGGCGTTCTTTCCTGCCGAGGCTTTGAGCCGAGACGGCAGCGGCGCCGGCATCGGCGAGTTCCGACCCGAGAGCGAGACGCCGAAAGCAAAAAGCCGATGCGAAGGCGATTCTCGGGCAATAGAGGATCCAAGTCGTTTCTCATCCACACGTGAAGATCCCTCCCTCCCACAATCATTGAAGTGGATAACCCCTTCTTGGTAGAGGAAAGTAGTCTTCGCAGGGGGCCATTTTCCACTTCCATGATTGTTGGAGGGAGGGTAGATGGTTACCCCATAATGATTTGAATGATCATGCTGTCCTTGGTGCTTTCCTTTATTTGGGTTCCTTAACACTGCTCTGTGGGAATATCTGTTGCTGTTGGTTCCCGTCGTTCTTTGGTCGCCAGTGCTCTCCTCGGCTTTCTGCTTCTCGCTACATGGTTCCTGTCGTCGCGTTTTCTCTTGGTCATGCATGGCCGTTGAATTTCTGAGGCTATGGGGAACAGAGGCATGAGAACTATTATAGATTATGTTGAGAATGTCAATGATAATCACCCCAAGAATGGATCGAACAGCTGCAAATGAACACTCACTGTCCTATCCACTTCAAGATAAGTATGTTTGTGTTTTTCCTTTGTGGGGCACCATTGTCCATGGCTGGAGGGTGTGAATGCGGAAGACTTCGGTTGGAGGCCATCTCTATTAAGGTCCTTGATTCATGGGGACTTTCACGGCCTAGGACACCCCGTCCATCCCCACGGTCCATCCACGGGCACTCCACCGGTCGGGTCGAACGCCGGAGCCGCGCCCCAGACGTTGGCCCGAGACATGGCAGGGCTCATGAGCAGAGACACAAAAGCACCCGAAGCGCCGAGCAGAGCGAGAGGTCTCATCCTGAAACAGGTGTTTGGGGAACATGGCGAAGAAATGAGCAAGTTTCTCGTACGAGGTTCTGCGCAAGTTCAACAGAGACCACTCTAGCACTCCGGATCATCAGGATCCTGACGTATTCACGCAACATCCGTATGGCACATGCACCAACTAGACTTAAATAGCGCTCTTTCCCCTGGTTCGTGCACAGGGCGCCCCCGCCCGGCTTTGTATCTTAAATGTTCACCATCCAAAGCGCTGGGCAGTGTAGCTGGCTGGAGACCTCCGAAAACACGGCCCAGAACCAGACCGCCACTCCTGCCATCCCAGCATAGTAATTAAGCATGAATGTCATCCCAGAAGCATCTCTACGGTACCATTCAAGCTGGGCGTGTCCCACGATCCGGCAGTATCAGATACCCATCATCCAACCAAAGTGCTGAAGGACCAAAGGGCAGCACTTTCTTTGGACCGTTGGGTCCTTTTTTGCGCCGTCCCCGGTCGGGACACCCGGTCGGGGCACGAACATCACCTTTTTCGCTGAGGATCTGCACTCCAAAGGACAGGGAGTCACCCGGTCACATAGATGTTTATGGGGGGAAGGAGTCCTCCCAAAAGGATGTACATGTTCCTCTGTGTCCAGAGTTCATTTCCGGCAAGTTTATACATTCATTTTTGTTGGTTGATGATATGTGATATGATGAGTATGGATGTCCCCAGCCTCCCCAATTGACTCCCCCATACATGACGTATATTTCATTGGGAGACCTCACAGGCGACGACCCCTGGGAAGAAGGGAAATAAACCAGAACCCATTGGGCCAGGGGGGCCCTATTAAACGACACACCCAAATATGGCACTCCCATACAACAGATAAGAGTCAGATGCTTCTCTGGCCTCATGGGACAAACTGTGTGTTTAAGTCACGAGTGCAAGTTGCTCAAGTTGTCTTTCCAATTCATGCGGTGGTTCTGTTGGAAGAAATCCTGCAACACCTCGAAGCACATCAAGAATGTCAAGTACCACGGTGTTTTCCTATCTCTGGTGGTTGCCTTCTAATGGTCCTTTCACTACACTGCGCTCGAGTCGCACTACTGGGCAAGTTCGAAGCAATGGTCGACTTGAAGGTCAGCCCAAGCGGGTCAGACCTCATTGGGTCGAGATAAAGAGAGCAAGAAAGGAGAAAGAGATTCTTTGAGCTTTAAGGGATTTGCGTGTCTTTGCGGCTTCATGTATGTTGAGGGGGTCGAACACCTGGCAAATCCAAGTTGATCTTTGGAGACAGAAGGCTTTTGGGATAGTGATATTAGGTTGGAGGCCATCCCTATTAGAAACCAAGAAGAAGAGAAAGGAAAGGTCTAATATTCTAACATAGTTGGAGGCCGTCGATAGTAACGCTTTTGTGATGGCCTCAGTCATCCACTCAGAGTCCACAGCCGAATCGAACGTTTGTGGCTGACCCAGCGACATGGGACTTCCGCGGAAAGTCAATGAGCCGGGAAGGTGCGCTGAAGAGTACGTAGACATGAGACACCATCATCAGTTGTGTGGAAACTCTTGAATATCTAACGGATGATCGGCATCATCCTGGAATAGATCGCACAGACCGATATAAGAGGATTGTAAGAGATTGTAAGCAATGTGAAAATCATGAATTCCTATCTGTGGTGACTGGTGTTGGGTTCCAAGCATTCACCAGGACAACGTCGGTACCATGTCTTGTGGTTTGATGGCCTAGAAAGTAAGACAGATACAGGTTTAAAGAGGGATATGACTCGTGATGTGCTCCATTTTGAAACTTCTGCAGGTGACTGGGTCTTTAGGTTGGTTTAAGTTGCCCACTAAAGGTGTCAAGGACTGGAGATGGTCTTCCAACCCAAGCAGAGAGCTCGCTGACAAGCCCAGGCTGCGCCGTTATGGGGCAAATATGCACGGTCACACTTGGAGAAAAAGTTCAGGCCGGACATCGTGGAGAAAAGGAGGGGCCCAATATTTCAACCTGACGTCAGGGTTTGATTCTATCAGCTACTGTTCGATTTCAAGAAGAAATCGTCTATGGATTGGGGAACTTGCAGAAGTGAGGTGTATGTGAATCAAACTACATCCTTAGTTTGACCCTCTATGCCTCTATGCCCCTTCACACCTTCTCAAAAGATATGTGGATCCCTCGAGGGTTCGTCTACCGTTTCATCAAGTAGCGATCTGGTTCATATGGTTGTGGATCATGTTCCCTGAAGATCAGGCAAGGAGCCTAGCGGCTGAGTTCGCGGTTGCTCTCACAAAGGAGAATATGGACGGCTGTGGTGCTGCGAGGAAGCCCGCCAGATTTGTTAACAGAAGCTACCATACTCCGACATGATCCCACTCATTATCCTCCTGTACGTACTCCACTGATTGCTACTACCACCGGCACTATCCTGCTACTGCTGCTGCTGCTGATGGTACTCTTTGACCCACCACGTCCAAGTCCGCCCATCCTGCAGGTGGTGGGTTCTTCTGCACCCGAGCCAGCGTGGGCTCCCAGTTGTCAACAGTGCATTCCTATCTGATCGCTGGCGGGTGTACGAGGTTCTCACCCACCGGTGCCATGAGACCAGAAAGCGCAAGCCCCCTCCTTCCTTGAAGGAACCGAACTTCCTGGTGTGAAGGGGGACACGAGGGAGGACTCCTCCTACTGGGATGAGGCAGCATCATAGAGCTGTGGTGGGAGGATTGCATTCTTGAATCCAAAATGGCAAAAAGCTAGGATTGCCCCCCAAAATTAAAGAAGCCCTTTCAATGAATCTAGCACTCTGTTGGGCGACGTTTGTATTGCAAAAACCCGTGCATGTCAACGTCCAGTACTCCCTTTGCCAATGGACGAATCCTGAGCCCTCCACGTGCTCCCGCAGATGCGGCCCAGCGTGGTGCTGCGCCTCAAGCGCTTGCACGAGGTGGGCGAGGATGGTGGACCGCACAGTGTTCACCGGGAGTTTTGCAGGGAAAGTTCGAAGTGGTCGACCTGTACCCGGACACGACCTGTCTGGAAGCATATGCCGCCCCAGAGGGAGATGGCGCCCCAACTCACAAGGTCACCTACCTCAAATGATCGGCAAATATGACAGTCCCATGGAGTATCTATAGTTTGTTCAGATATGGAGTACATGTTCTTCAGATAGGAATTGCTTTACGACCTGAGTTGGTGAGTCCATTTGCTCGTTTGGGCTTGAGCCAGACAAGCAGCAATGTGAGGGTTGGATGTGCATTCACCAAAAGCATCGGGATGAAGGGGCGTTCCTTCTTGACCCACACGCGCCTGACGACTTGCACGGACCTTCGCTCCAGAGAGATCGACCTTCGCTCCACGGCGCTGCCACGGGTCATCGGGCGCTGCGCACGCTGCGACTCAACGAGGCTTGCCACAAGAACGACCTCGCCGGCATCCAGCGAAGCCTCGAAGAGGCGGAAGACGTCGAAAGCGGCGATCGATCGGTCAGAAGGCGCTTGACGAAGGTGCTTCCACCGGTGCTTCTTCCACGGACACGCAACTGGGGGGGGTTCCGACTCCATGTGTGCACCATGTCCCTCGCCATGGTGTCCGAACAGAAATGGTGTCCGAGAGAGCTTGACTGAAAGAAACGCGATCTGTTAGGTTTGTTTCATTACAGGGGACCCTTGGCTGCAGCTCATCTGTGGAAAACCACCTCTTCAACAGGCTGATGTGACAAGAAAGCCCCTTATGATTCAAATTGACGGTTTCATGAATGTTCGATGATGTTCTTTTATCAATCTGGATTACAGAGCCAGGCCCAACCCATCTCTTGTGTTCTCTTTGTCAATCATTCAGGCAACACATGGAAATTCTCGGATACGTTCCACGCCTCATTTCGGCACACCCGTTCTGCTACGCATACGTTCAGTCCACGCCGCCTCAGGGTGCCCCGGTGAATGGCTGGGACGAGTCGGGGTGGACGGCATTGCACTACAGTGCCTGGGCCGGTTGGTCGGATCGCTTGGAACCCGGTGACGGAGGGATGACTAGTTGCCCGGTCAGGTGAGGCGTGGAGCTTGGGGTGGTTGGAACCGTTTTGCCAGACATGTTGGATGGATCGGTGGATGTGTTGTGCCACTCGAATGAATCGGAAGTCATGACAAAGACATGCCAGAGGTAAAAAAAGAGACTTGGTTCGGCCCACTTTACAAGAAGGTTTTGGCCAAACTATGCGAGAGTTGCTGTCAAAACTTCATAAAGAT